TATTGCTAAAAACGGCGTAAAACCTCACTCACTCACCCACTCGAATAAGATGGTTGTTGATATATTTAGAGCAGAATAATATATATAGCTGAAAACTAAAAAAACAACTAATTCAATTCCCCCAAAATGGAGACCGTTAATAAATGGTCTTACTACCAATAGAACGTAACGTGCCATCAACGTTGTAACCACATTGGATTTGGTAAAATGGAGGTGTTCATTGTTCACCCTGTTCAACAATACACTGCTTGTCATCGTGAACCATTGAAGCGTAATAAAATATTAAGACTATGTCTATATGTGGTTGTCTGTCTTATAGATGATTTCCCAATTGTAATGTGCTGAATTGAAAAGAAATGATCAGCTCTATTTCGTGATGCATATGAATTGGAATTTCGAGCAATATTCCATAAGATTAAGCCTTTGGGGGTCAACATGATACATTACATAACGGTTTGTTTCAAGTAAATACTAGACTTGCCATTTTCATGTGTTTGCGACGGGTGCCCACTGTGGGATAGGACATGCGCATCACGGAGAGCTACACCCCCCAACCACCCCCCGTACTCCCCCACCCACCCCCACCTCCCCAAAAATAAAAAAAATAAAATCATATAAATAAATAATTAAATAAAAATGAAATAAAATAACCTCTATAAAACCCAAACTAAATTATAAAAATTCTTCAACTTCAGCTTGTATATTATTCATTTTTGTGTCATGCAAACATAATAAGCACTTCACGTCACCATGAAAAACAAATACGAGGCACTTCTTTGCTGCGAGTGAATGTATTAGAGCTGATTATATATGATATTATAGTATGAGGTGAGGTGAAATCGGGGTTTAACGTCGCGTCCAAGACCATTGCAATTATATTGCCACGTGCACACTTTCTCAAGCATTATGCTAGTACTAAATCATTGTTACAACCAGAAAACTAGTTATGCATATTACAAGATAAAACTCTGTTGAGAGCTCTTTGTAAATTTAGAATATCTCTCCATAACTTCCTTGTCAATAAATATCGTAGAACCAAGGATAGTGATTTTGTAAATTGTATATGTTCTAACTGTACCAACCAGGAGATTGAAGACGAGTTTCATGTTCTTTTTGTATGTGAAAAATATAAAACGTTAAGATTAAAGTTTCTACCTAATTTAGACATTACACACAAAGACAATCAATGAATGATCAATTTGTTGAATTCTACCAATAAAGAAGTTATCAAATCTTTTGCAATGTATTTGAAACATGCACTTAGACTTAGGATTTAGAATGTAGTATACTATGTTCAAGTTCACGTTGATTTCTATGTATCTTCTAAAACTGAACTGTACTATGGGCCATATGGCCTTGCATATTGAATAAACTGTCAGTCTGTCTGTATTGTATTCTTCCAACTTAGCAATGCCTTCAAAGACTTAATGTTATAGTAGTGAGCTCATTTGGTGTCATGTGTCCCAGAAAGTGTCTTTGTCACAATTTGGTGAATTTGGTGAATTTTGAACAAGACCCAGCTTTTTTCTGGATCTTTTCTATGTTACTTGTACATACTTCATGTGTTTGTCCTTTGTCCACAAACATGCTGCAGTTCAAATGTTTTGAACATTTTGTACTACATAATCAAGAATTAAGACGTTAAATATCCATTATGCTTCTACAGTGCGCTTAACATTCGATTGGTCATATTCACCAAGCCAATTATCACGTTCATCGTTGCCCACGCCGGGTACATTATTCTCCCCAAATTAGGCAATGATTGACATCATGACGTACAGAGCCAACTTACCTCTGGCGTGAAACTTTTACCAGTAAAGTATAATTCATTTCAAAATGCACTTCACGTTGTACATATTACACTTTTGTCTCTTGATGTATGATGTAAACATGACATTAATCTCTCTCCTTCTGTTGGTCATTGCTGGGGTCGGGTAGCCAAGTGGTTACAGCGTTCGCTCGTCACGCCGAAGACCCGGGTTCGATTCCCGACATTGGTATAATGTGTGAAGCCCATTTCTGGTGTCCCCTTCCGTGATATTGCTGGAATACTGCTAAAAGCGGCGTAAAATCAAACTCACTCTCTCACAAGTGTCTGCTTCAATTGTATTCTTACAAAGACAGGTAATCTTCAACTATTTGGCATACACATGCTGCGACATTACTACTTTCGACAAATCACTGGTACCCATAGTGATCGCTGAATGTCTTCTGTCTGCCTGCTCTGTGACACTCTCTAGACAAGGAGGAAAGTATGTATGTTTGGCCATCCACATCATGCCAATTAGGAGAGTGCCAGCGTCTTCTGGTGAGGGTACACATGGCACTGTAAGTTTGTATTGACACTCTTTTGAGTTACTTTCATCCTATTGCTGGCAGTACTATTGTTTATGAGTTTCTGTGCAGGGTACAACGTCAGTGAATGCTTGGTTCTATTGCTCCAGCTTCATTCCCGCGGCTCCAGCCCTCAGTTTATGTATTTTGCCACTTTGGAGGTACAATCGAGCATCATCTTTGTACCAAGATTTCAAAGAGCGCCATTCGACTCCTGCTAAAAACTGATTTGATCAAGGTTACAGGATTCAAGGCCAGTTTGTTTGTTTGTTTGTTTGTTCTTTTGTTGTTTAACGCCGCACTCAGCAATATTCCAGGTATATGACGGCGGTCTGTAAATAATCAAGTCTGGATCAGACAGTCCAGGGATTGACATCATCAGCGATCCGCGCAATTGGGATTACGATGACGTGCATCAAACCAAGTCAGCGAGCCTGACCACCCGATCCCGTTAGTCGCCTCTTATTACAAGCATAGTCGCTTTTTACGGCAAGCATGGGTTGCTGAAGACCTATTGTGCCCTGGATCTTCACGGGTCTGTGGCACATGTAGTGAGATAGTCCAACAGCATAGGACACTGAGACATGAGAATGAATCTGACGATATCTGTAATGGGAGGGATAATTGTGTGAAGGAGGATATGAAGTAGTTTCTGAACACAGAACCGTATGAACAGTAACGGCCTTTCTCAGTTTCTCAGTTACAGGGGACTAATTAGTCTGAACGTTCACGTGGTTATCAACTAACGGTTACTCTCAGGACGTTGTCTGACAGGGGACTAATAAGTCCGAACGTTCACGTGGTTATCAACTAACGGTTACTCTCAGGACGTTGTCTGACAGAGGACTAATAAGTCTAAACGTTCACGTGGTTATCAACTAACGGTTACTCTGACAGGGGACTAATAAGTCTGAACGTTCACGTGGTTATCAACTAACGGTTACTCTCAGGACGTTGTCTGACAGGGGACTAATAAGCCTGAACGTTCACGTGGTTATCAACTAACGGTTACTCTGACAGGGGACTAATAAGTCTGAACGTTCACGTGGTTATCAACTAACGGTTACTCTCAGGGCGTTGTCTGACAGGGGACTAATAAGTCCGAACGTTCACGTGGTTATCAACTTACGGTTACTCTCAGGACGTTGTCTGACAGGGGACTAATAAGTCCGAACGTTCACGTGGTTATCAACTTACGGTTACTCTCAGGACGTTGTCTGACAGGGGACTAATAAGTCCGAACGTTCACGTGGTTATCAACTAACGGTTACTCTCAGGACGTTGTCTGATAGGAGACTAACAAGTCTGAACGTTCACGTGGTTATCAACTAACGGTTACTCTCAGGACGTTGTCTGACAGGTGAATCACGGTTATATGATCTGTGACAATTTAAATGCTTCAATACTTGGAATAAATTGGGTGTATGTTTACAACATGGTTATCACATCCAAAGTGTTTCGTTTTTTGGCGTTGTTTTAAAAAATAACAAGGCTTATTATTAACACTTGTACATGTCTCTAGGCTGGCAAAAAACTCAGTATTTATAACCGTTTGTAATTCCGAAGGACACGAGTCATATCTTGTATTTGTACGATACAATATGGCCCACTTACGTATATCTCAGCCGTTAGCATTCGTTGACTTTTTTTCATTTTTAAACGTCATGCTATTTTCGTAATATAAAATAATTTTAAACTTACTAGATCTTGATGAAATGTTTCGAGTTATCTCTTTATAATTTATAGATTATAAAACTAGATTCACTTTGACAATGTCTAAATTTCTCCTCAAAATCTATAGTGAAATAAAGCGCGTGCAATGAGCTTCAAAAAGTGTTGAAAACGAGAAAGTATGTCGTAAAATATCATCTTTCTCATTTCTGACAGAAGGTAGTTCATTAACGAAAATGTGGCCATCGTAACATTTGCTTCCCAAACTATGAAATATAATGTTTAAAGTTAGCAGCCAAGTCAAGCTATTATGGTTTCTATTTCCTAAAACATCTTTGCGGGTCTCGGAAACGAGACGCTAAGGAGACCTTTCGAGCTTTCCATCTCTCAAAAACTGTATACGGAAGTCAGAAGTTGGAGCAAGTTTTGCGCTTTCTAGTTTCCATCGAAAACAAATAATTTCGGAAGTGACAAGTAGGATGCGGTGTTGAGCTTTCAAGCTTTTCATCTTTCAAAAATGAGATCGAAAGATGAATTGTCGTGTATGTTCCCCAGGAGTTGTTTGATCTATGGTTGAACCATTCAGTTGTGAATGAACTGTTTGTATGTAGCACTGGAGTGGTATTTAAAGACACTGACTTTTACACAGGCTGTTCGCGCCCAAACACACAGTAAAATCCGAGTTGCCTCCCTTAGACTGCGTGACACAAGGGAAGTGTTTGTATGACTTGCACCACGACTTTAAAACTTCCTTAAACCTCGTTGTTGTATTTGCAAATTGAGATCATAGTAACCAAATTATTCTGGACACAGGGAGTACAATACACCTGCGCTGTGTCAAAGTAAGGAAAGTTAACAGAATTGAAGTATTAGGTGTTTTAAGTGCAATTTATGCATGCTGGATAACAAGAATATTTAATCTTATGGTCTAATACTTTATTATTTTCGTTATCAAATCCGAAAAGCAAACGCTTTACTCTGTTCTGCCCTTGGATAATAATGCATGTATTAATACACATTTAACAACTTGTAAATCCCCACAAGAGTAAACAGGACACGCATATTAAGAACAAGATATATTTCGCACATTATTTAACTATTAAATTACATATTATAACAATAATACATCAGTAAAAGAGAGAGAAAACATAAAACAATGTTCTTAACTTAACTAAAGTACTCCAATAATCGAAAGACGAGATAATTAGTTTATAACGACGACGACACTGTATTTACAATCCTTTGGCACTAACGGGAACCCCACGTATATGCATACAGTATGTACAACATGGCAGAAACTCTTCACGTGGTTTCTACTTCTATTCTATATGATTAGGGTGATTATTAGTATCACAGTGACTATCTCAAAATCCAAAAGATTTGTAGAGCCTAATATAGTTTCCACGGCGTTGTTTACGAAGGGTGTATGGGTTTACGTCGGCGTATATTAATATCACAGTTCGGCTTTGAGATGACGTGTCAATCACTGCTTACTATGGGTTATGAAATAAATACATGGACGTCTGATATGATAAAACTAGTTTTTCCTATATACATGTGTGAATCTGGAGTGGAAGGGTTCTGAAGCAGTGACTGACACCCTCCGCAAGAATATTCAGTAGTCGGTCCCTTATGAGACAATTTGTAAACGCAGGATACCTTGCGAACGCTACATTTATGGCTAGTTTACCAAGCACAGATACTGGCAAAATGCTACTGCATATAAGTAGTGATCATGTCATTATACCATTACGTTTTGTCGTAAATTAGAGCCACATGTTAAGTACGTGGCCCTACTAGTCATGTCTGTTAGCCCACAATACTTCCAGTATTGACAGTATTGTGGCACAAACGAAAATATATTAATTTCTTTTGATAAATACTCTAGGAACCCATATAGGCACCCTGAGGGAGATGGTCTGGCTATCGATAGTCATCATCGGACTCCATGAAAATCATTTTCAAGAGTGAATACATATCATCACCGTAGTACTGTAGGTAGGCATCCCACTGATATCCAACCTTCGGCCCTCGCACCTGTTTGTCCTCATTTCGTCTTCCTCGCCTCCTCCTCCTCCTCTTCCTCGCCCCCTCTGTCTGTCCACCAGGAACAACCTCTTCAGGCACCTCCTGTTCATCGTGGCCAGTTCCTCTTCTCAAACGTATTCTAAGAGTTCTTGTTTCCCGAGAACCGACGATGTCTTCTTCGTCTTGGTACTGCTCTTTTGCTTCTCCCATTTCCCTCCTCCCCTTCTTCTTATAGCGTTTTACCCTTAAAGAACCAGACTTAAAATACTCTACCTCCTCATCACTATCTTCTCCCTCGTCTTCAACGATAGCGTCTGTAGGTAATCCACGCCCCAGTCTGACTCCCCGAGAATTCAACTTATCTCTGTCTGAGTCAAAAGTAGCAATGGTATTCATGTCCCACCTTGTCTTTCCGGTCTGATCATCTCTAATAGGCGGCCTTCCTAAAGTACGATATCCATAACATGAATCCGAACTCTCATCTTCCCCTGAGAGGTGTCCTTCAGCTCGGGACATCCCAACACTTGACGCTTTCTTACCAACGTCAGAATTTGTCATGACACCACCCGAACCTTTTAGTGATTTCCCCCGGCTGCTACCAGCATTACTATTGTCCATTTCACTCTGTGTCCCTGGTAGCGCACCCTTAGTGTTCCTTTTGTGATCCGAATCATGTTTGGTCCCTTTAGGAACACTCCCCGCTTTTGTATTCATATTGTTCTTATCATATGGGCCTACTCTTTTCCCTGGTCGTGTTCTAGATGGGCCATCTTTGTGTGTCTCGTTTTCAAATGCTATCTTGGTGTTAGGATGTCTGGGCAGTGCAGTTGAGTTTGGCAGATGGCTGGATTCAAAACCGCCAGGTTTGATTATTTGATTCCTATCATCAAACTCAAGATCTTCAAGGTTCATATCAGCAGCTGTAGAGTCTTCCGTATCATACCACTGCTCCATACCCCTGTATCGTCCCTTCCCGTCCGGCCAGTACTGCTTTCCATCCTCACCAACATAACTGACGTTGTCTTCATCATCAATAATGTAGCCCCCCTCCACTCTTCTACCCTTCAGACTTCCGTCAGTGCTGGACTCGCCACGGCCAAATCCAGAGTCACCGTCATTCACTCCCTGTCTTTGTCCGGCACCTATAGGAAAACCAACGCCAAACTTTTCTTCATCTTCATTCAATGTGCGTTTCGCTTTGTCATTGGGTTTCTTGATGCTGTCCCCTCTCCCAGACCAAGAATCATTTTCTTTGCCGAGAGGAATGATACTTTCTTTACCACTTGTCATCTGTTTACCATTATTTGGACCGCGATGATGTTTGTCATTTCCCCTGTTCTCATTGACATCTTTGCCTTCACCCTGTGATGTGGGATCCTTTGCATTTGTATTTCTGTTCTTCTTGTTGCCTCTACCTTTATTGCCATTCTCACCTTTGCCTTGATGGCCAGTTCCTGCACCACTTTCTCCACCCATTCCTCCATCAGTTCCTTCACCAGTTACTTTACCAGTTCCTCTACCGGTTTCTCCAGCAGGTCCTCCATCAGTTCCTCTACCAGCCTTTCCACCGGTTCGTCCATCAGTTCCTCTACCGGTTTCTCCAGCAGGTCCTCCATCAATTCCCCTACCAGCCTTTCCACCAGTTCGTCCATCAGTTTCCCCAGCAGGTCCGCTAGTTCCTCTACCGGTTCGTCCATCAGTTCCTCTACCGGCCTTTCCACCGTTTCGTCCATCAGTTCCTCTACCAGTTTCTCCAGCAGGTCCTCCGTCAGTTCTTCTACCGGTTCTTCCTCCAGTTCCTCCATCAGTTCCTCTGCCATTTCCTCCGACAAATCCATCAGCTCCTGTTAGACCTTTTGCAGGATAAACACCTGGCCTTCCATTTAACCCCATACCATTCTTCACATCATCGCCTGATCCTTCTTCTGTCTCATAGCTCCCAGTGGTTTCACTACCATTCAAGTCATGACCCGAACCCTTCTGTTTCCTTGCATCACTATAGCCCTGGTCCTCATCACCCTGTAGGTCTTCCAGTGTCCACAGCTTGTCATGTGGTTTACTTTCTTTCGTGACCTCCTGCGGTGGGTCTATCCATGCGTCAATAATCCCCCTGGGCGGAAGGGAGAACCGTGGCAAGTCGGAAGGCAACCCTTTGGAATACTCCGATATCGGTGGTCGGAACGTCCCTCTTCTCAGACTTCTCCTGTTCGAATGATGGAAGGGACAGCAAGGTATTAGTGTACTTGATAACTCAAACATTGACATGACAAAATGACATTAAGATATCCCCAAAATGTTTAATCCATTATAATTTGACAATGACAGACAAAACTATTTGTGTCTCTATTATATTTTGTATTTAATTTGGTATTATTATAGAAGTAATGGTACGGTGGTGTAGCTCATCCGAATACATAGTCAACAGTTGTAAATGTCAACAAAGACGGTCACAAAATAAAAACAACTTGCAAAACAAAGTCAAAATAGAAATATCGCCATAAAACAGAGTTAACATTTGGGTTGCGCCCCACTACTGACTACTTATATGTCAGATTTCATTACAAATTGAACAAAAATAGCTGAGTAACAGACATAAAAATGTTTTCAAAATGGCTACTATCGCGGCCATATTGAAACTCGGACTCGAACATCTTGGGCGAATTAAGGTGACATCTTTTGTGGGAACTCGAATGTGAAGTTTCACCGTTATTGGTTCAGAGATTTCCGAGGAGAATATTTTTAAAGTGAAAGGAAATGCAGTTTGAGTAATAAGCAAAGGTTCAAATATCAAAGTCCCACTCCTTACTAAATATATACCGAATTTCATTACCCTTTGTCTTATAAATCGGATTTATATTTCAATTTTTGAAATACAGTTGGTAGTCATGTGAAGTTTCAACTTCATCAGTGTCCTGGGTTCATCTGTTAACGTCTGTATATATGACCCAGGCGGTGCAGCTAGACGTTGATACCACTAAACCATGACGGCGATTACACATTACAATGGGACAACGATTCAAAACATGTGGTCACATAACGGTACATCCATGAGACCTTTACAAGTTGAAACCCTTTTTTATACTTACAAAACAATTGGAACATCCTCCCCGCCAGATTGCCCTGGTAACGTTACGTGTACATGGGACTGGAGTGACGTTACACTGGAGGTCACTGAGGACCTGGACGTTGAACCCTCTGGTGTGTCTTCCTCCTCTTGACCCTCCTCATCAAACGCTGCAAGCCTACAGTACAGATACATGTTGTAAAGGACACTGGGTAATCAGAAGCCTCTCTTGTTTGATCTGTAGACCGACACAGGACACATGCAACTTGCTAAAAACGTTAACTTATTTGAGCTCAACACAATAATTCAGAAAGGAGTCTCTCTTGTTTGATGAGTTGACCGACACAGGACACATGCAACTTGCTAAAATCGTTAACTTATTTGAGCTCAACACAATACTTCAGGAAGGAGATACTGATGGCTCTGTAAAGACACCGACATCAATGTCCATGTTTTTTTTACGCTGACTTGATTCAGTATTGAGGGACGAATTTACTTAAGCAAACGCTTTGCATTTCCAATGCTGATAGTTTTAAATAACAGCAGAGAGAAGTTTTACACTATAGTTAGAGAGAGAGAGAGAGAGAGAGAGAGAGAGAGAGAGAGAAACACACACACACACACACACACACACACACACACACACACACACACACACACACACACACACACACACACCTTGTCCAAAACGCATACAGACATATGCACATCACAGAGACACAGACAGACAGACAGAAACTGGACTATTTGTCCAACATCCACACATCCACACTGAACTGATATATTCACACAACGTTATTTCAGGACTGATTTGTTGTAACTGTTCTCTTGAAGTGAATTAAGTTTCGGAAATTACATGTAGTGGAGGCACCTTTTGACTGAGTACAACAGATATGAATATGTGTAACTACAGTTTACTACAGTTTCCAATATCATAACCTATCTGACATAAGGCTCATGTACTCTTAGAGCCTTGCCTCATAAAAAATAAATGTACGTTTTATCCGTGTCTTACTTGACTATCACAGATGGATCACTTTCGTCATCCTTCTTCTTCCCCTTGTCATCCGGGGTCAGTTCATCTTCCCCAACATCTTTGTCTTCTCCCTTCTGTTTATCACTCAGGTCCTCCTGTTTATCACCCAGGTCCAGCTGTTTATCACCCAGGTCCTCCTGTTTATCACCCAGGTCCTCCTGTTTATCACCCAGGTCCTCTTGTTTACCACCAATGTCCTCCTGTTTATCACCCAGGTCCTCTTGTTTGTCACCAATGTCCTCCTGTTTATCACCAAGGTCCTCCTGTTTATCACCAAGGTCCTCCTGTTTGTCACCCAGGTCCTCCTGTTTACCACCCAGGTCCTGATGCTTGAGAAGAGGTGGTTCCTTTGTGTGTTCATCTTCTTTCTCAACTACAGGCGGCCTACACGATAATTGAGTTTAAAAAAAATAAATGAAGATATGTGCGTTCTGAACTAATAAAAACAAACGGCATCATTTCAGAGTTGGTGTGTGTGTATGTGTGCAAAGTTTCAAAGAAGACGTTGACACATTCGAATATGATAGGTGATGGATTCAAAGACTTCTATATCTCATATAAACAGGGTATAACTGTTATCAGTGAGCAAATATTGTTGTGCACTAGCGTCGACAGTATCACATACACATCAGAGTAACCAATGGTTGAATTAGTGATCCCAGTCCACTCAATCGGACAACAGGACATACCAAGTACCAGCGACCCATTATGTTGGAGTCGGGTCCTCTCAGTATCTATGGTGACCGCCTCCGTGGTCTACTGGATAGAGAGGGGCGGTGAGGTAACCTATAGGTTCAAGCGTTCGCTCGTCACGCCGGAGACCCGGGTTCGATTCCCAACATAGCTATAATGTGAAGCCAGTTTCTGGTGTCTCTCGCTGTTACATTGCTAAAAGTGATGTAAAACCATGTTATGCTGGCGGCATGGTGTCTCAGTGGAAAAGTACTATAAAACCGGCATAAGTCCGGACTAGTACAAACAACCATGCACACGTCTACACGCACGCACGCGTGCATACACCGTCGCTACAAATGTATATGTAAGTGCAACAATCTTAAACGCGACGTTAAGCCCCTTTTCACCTCACCTCACCTTGCTTTGTCAATGATATATATAAGTTTAATCTGTGTCTTACTCGGCGATCACAGGTGGATCACTTTCGTCATCCTTCTTCTTCCCCTCGTCATCCGGGTCCGTCTCATCTTCTCCAGCATCTTTGTCTTCTCCCTTCTGTTTATCACCCAGGTCCTCCTGTTTATCACCCAGGTCTTCCTGTTTATCACCCAGGTCCTCCTGTTTATCACCAAGGTCCTCCTGTTTATCACCCAGGTCCTCATGCTTGGCAAGCGGCTGAGCTTCCTTTGTGTGGTCATCTTCGTTCTCAACTACTGGCGGCCTACACAATAATTGATTTTATTTAAAAAATGAAGATAAGTGCGTTCTGAACTAATAAATACAAACGGCATCATTTCAGAATTGCTGAGTTTGCAAAGTTTCAAAGAAGACTTTGACAAATGTATATGATATGTGATGGTTTCAGAGCCAAGCGCAGACCGACGGGCGGTACTTTTATATCTCATATATACTTTATTTTGACAGGGTATAACTGTTATCAGTGAGCAAATGTTGTTGTGCACTAGCGTCGACAATATCACATACACATCAGAGTAACCAATGGTTGAATTAGTGATCCCAGTCCACTCAATCGGACAACAGGACATACCCAGTACCAGCGACCCATTATGTTGGGAGTCAGGTCCTCTCAGTATCTATGGTGACCGCCTCCGTGGTCTACTGGATAGAGCGGGTGGTGAGGTAACCTATAGGTTCAAGCGTTCGCTCGTCACGCCGGAGACCCGGGTTCGATTCCCAACATAGCTATAATGTGAAGCCAGTTTCTGGTGTCTCTCGCTGTTACATTGCTGGAATATTGCTAAAAGTGACGTAAAACCATGTTATGCTGGCGGCATGGTGTCTCAGTGAAGTAGCACTATAAACCGGCATAAGTCCGGACTAGTACAAGCAGCCACACACGTCTACACGCACGCACGCGTGCATACACGGTCGCTACAAATGTATATATAAGTGCAACAATCTTAAACGCGACGTTAAGCCCCATTTCATTTCACTTCACCTAATCTGCACTGCCATCCATCTTGCTTTGTCAATGATAATACATATAAGTTTGATCTTTGTCTTACTCGGCGATCACAGGTGGATCACTTTCGTTATCCTTCTTCTTCCCCTCGTCATCCGGGTCCGACTCATCTTCCCCAACATCTTTGTCTTCTTCCACCTGTTTATCACCCAGGTCCTCATGCGTGGGAGGCGGTTGAGCTTTCTTTGAGTGTTGATCTTCATTCTTACGCACGATCGGCCTACAGGAACATTAGATTTTCTGTCAAACAGCCACTTCTTGGATTCTGAACTAATAAATGGCAGTTGGTACTCCAGTAAGTACTCAATGTGTACAAGTTGGAAGATATTTATCAAGCTACACACATCTACAGAAACAATACAGTTCCCATACTCTGTCGCGTGGGACATATTACCGGAGTTGAATATGGTCATTGCTCAATACGACCATCTATATTTAAAACACCATTGATAACAAAACTCTCAAATCTAATAATAACGTTAAATTATCAATGAAGAGAACGAAGATATGCAAAGTCTTGTTCAGGAAAATACTGGAAACAATAATTCGGAAACTTGAGCCTCAGTCCACACGACCAAACGATGAACGTGATTCTAGATTGGGTCCATCATTTGCACGTTGATCTGAACTGTGGACGGTAAGGTGTCTAGCTTTGGTACAACACGCCCTTACTCGTCGTGGTAAATGGCGGGTTCAAGTCTTGATTTGGTACAGTACTTACTTGGAGTGTAAACTGGTTCAAGTCTAGCTTGCCGTCAACTGATATCAAGTCTAGCTTTGGTCCAACACTTACTTGGAGTGTAGAAGAGTGGGTTCCAGTCTAGATTTGGTACAACATTTACTTGGATTGTAGAAGCGTGGGTTCTAGTCCAGCTTGGTACAACACTTACTTGGAGTGTAGAAGAGTGGGTTCTAGTCTAGCTTTGGTCCAACACTTACGTGGAGTGAAGAAGAGTGGGTTCTAGTCAAGCTTTGGTCCAACACTTACGTGGAGTGTAGAAGAGTGGGTTCTAGTCTAGCTTTGGTCCAACACTTACTTGGAGTGTAGAAGAGTGTGTTCTAGTCTAGCTTTGGTCCAACACTTACGTGGAGTGTAGAAGAGTGGGTTCTAGTCTAGCTTTGGTACAACATTTACTTGGAGTGTAGAAGAGTCTAGTCTAATCTAGCTTTGGCCCAACACTTACTTGGAGCGTAGAAAAGTGGGATCAAGTCTAGCTTTGGCCCAACACTTACGTGGAGTGTAGAAGAGTGGGTTCTAGTCTAGCTTTGGTCCAACACTTACGTGGAGTGTAGAAGAGTGGGTTCTAGTCTAGCTTTGGTACAACACTTACTTGGAGTGTAGAAGAGTCTAGTCTAATCTAGCTTTGGCCCAACACTTACGTGGAGTGTAGAAGAGTGGGATCAAGTCTAGCTTTGGCCCAACACTTACGTGGAGTGTAAATTGGATCAAGTCTAACTTCCTCGCAGTGTGGAAAACTGGGTTCTAGTTAAGCTTAGGCACAACACTTACTGAGAGTCCTCGCAGTGGGTGATTTCCTCTCTGATAAGAGACACTTTGTCTGACTTCTTAGAGCTTGTGTGTTTCCCTGTAGCGTATTTCAAGCGGATCTCTCCATACCTGTAGCATGTAACATGTAACATCGTTATCACTGCAATAGTGTAACATGAGTGGAAACAAGTGACAAAATGAAAAACCCTTCATTAGACCATTCTTTCCAATCTCCAATCTCATCCACCAAGATAGCGGGCAGGCGAAATGAAAACATGAAACAAATGAAAAAGCAAAAATATGTTTTTTACTAATTGTGTAACTTATTTTTGACAGTTTAAAGTTTAAACTCTTAGTACCAGTCATTAAATTAATGTATGACGAAAATCGAGTCGCTTTGCTTCGGAAACGAATAATCATTAAACATAGCTGAAGGAAGGTCAAGGTGAAATGGGTTTTCGACTGTGCAATGGAAGAAGTAATTTTTTATCACATTGGGGCATGATTTTCAAAGGCGGCGGGGAAAATTGCAATACAAAAACTTTTTTTTGTTATTTCACGTCAGTATGAACATTCAAAGCGGATCGGAGATGGGAAACACAGAAAAACATATGACTGCCTTACACCTGGAACGAGATTCCATACACGAGCAACACACGTGGAGATCCGGGCTAGAATAGGTCTTCAGCAACCCATGCTTGCCGTAAAAGGCGACTAAAAGGGAACGGGTGGGTCAGGCCTGGTGACTCAAGATGTTAATCACTGGATTGTTTGGTCCAGACTCGATCACTTACAGACCGCCGTCATAGTGCAGGGATATTGTACGGCGTTAAACACAACAACAAAAACATCAAAAAACGAACACGAGCTATCATGCATAAAGCCTTCTGGGCGGCGACTGCATACCTGTTTTCATAATACGGTTTCGTGCCCGACGCTGATTTCTTCCTCGAACACGGACCTGTAAAACAATCAGAAGTTTTGGTGGTAGAGACAGTTGAATATATAATTACACTGCATAAAAACGGAATTGTACCATTTAATAAGTCTAGTCTAAGGTGACACCATTTCATTCCACAAAAGATCAATCCTTGGTCCACATGCTCAATGCGAAGTTAGTACCAAGACCGGTGTACCGGCGACAATTTACCGAAATTTGGGCTCTCTTCCGACATTACACCATCATGATGACGGACGGCTAGTGTTGTAGCAGTTGATCCTGAGCCACCGCAGCCCAGTAGTAATTAATGTAAAAATGCGAGACAGTATATTTGTCACTGGAGACAGCTTCCAGTTCAGTGACAGATATACTCACATCGTTTCTTGCGACAGAAGATGTAGATGAGAAGCGCTATCTGTATCACTAGGAGGATGAAGATGAGGATGGAGACAACGATGACGGCAGCCAACTCCCCGTCCGTCACCACCTTGTCAGGGTCCACAACCACTGCGGAAAAACATCAATATTAGTGTTATCTGTGGCACTGTCGGTTTAAGGAAGTGAGACTCAGTAATTTATACTAAACAGTGAAACCTCGTCAACTCATCTTTTTAAGGACCATTGGCGCTTGTCTTGGTTGAAGAATGTCACCGACCCAAATTACGTCCATACTCGATTAAATACAGACTGCCGTCATATAGCTGGTATATTGCTTAGTGCGGCGTAAAACAACCAACCAACCAATCATGTGGCAGATACCCGACATGGCCTACAATATAATAATGACATTAATGCATCACTTCCATGATATGATGGGCATTGTCTCATCTCGACTGTGGACCTGAGCTGGAACTTCAAATGAGTCCATTAACACTTTATAAATAATGAAGATGATGATGGATGCTTTGGGCATCTGTTTGAGTAACAGTAATTTCATGACATGAAAATGATGAAGATGTTTACATTGTTGTTCTAAACTTTTAAACTGATTTTAAATCTTTATGATAATGTTTGTTTTTCACATTTATTGCCAACTTTCCAATGGGTGAACACATTATCCTAGAGGTAGGACAGCACTGAAGTGCAATCAGGTGTAAATGTGTTTTGATAAGACTTCTTGGTGCAGGCCAAATGGGCTATGGGCCATATGAGGACAGAATCGGTGTCTTTCCACTATGATTACTGTTTCAATACACAAACTTCATGGTTCAGTGACTGCTAATAACTACCTATCACCCCTGTTCCTAGGTGAAGTTGGAGTTGTCAAAAGGGGAACAAGAATCTATATTCATATATTCATAAACTCAAATCGCAATTTGAGAATAGGGTTATATACATTATTGGTTTCAAACGACAAAGTGCCCTTAAATTCTTTGCAGTACAAACCCTTTGAGATGCGACAGTTTTGCAGGTATTGATCTTTCAATATTACTTCAAACTTTGAAGTCAGTCATTTTGTGGAACATATAAACGTGCTATCAAACAATTCGGTAAGTCCATCATTACGTATTCCTTTCACGAAACAAATCCATGGAGTAAATTAAAAAAATGGGGTCCAATAAGAGCGATATTCTAGTATGTGGGGATTTCTGTATTTGTTGTTATTGTATGCTAAAACATAATAATGCGTCTATACCATTTTAACATACAGTGGTTCTATTCATGGTTGTCCGTAGACCATGACATTGGTGTTGTGTTACGAAGATCAGCGGCAATTTTAAGAAAATTTAAATGTTCTCTGTCAATATTTTTTGTATTTTTAAATCCACAAAATTCTCAACAAGGTAAATAATATAAAAACAAATAATACAACAAAAACAACATCTCTCATTAGACACTGTTCATGTCTGGATAGTGATTGAGTCAGTGAGTGAGTGAGTGAGTGAGTGAGTGAGAATAAATGCTTCTTTGAAGATTATTTCCGGTATATCGCAGCATGCTTTACATTGTGTAAAATACCCAGAGGTGACCAGTTTGACACCCTCTGGGATGAAGATGATGAAGAAATGAGTGACTGAATAATATTTATCGCCGCGGTCAGCAACGTCCCAGCTCTATCACAGCGGCACTGTGAGAATCGAACCTAGCTCGATAAACGAATGACTGAAAGTGTAAGAGTGAATATTATTCTACCCTTTTTTTTATCCCGGGGCTGAAATTTTCTAGTGTCAGGATGATCCTCCCTAGTTAATTTGAACACTCCCTAGTGTGTTTAATCCTATCAACATGTATTTACCCTAACCTTTATAACCGTCATATATAACTGCTCCGTTTTACAATATGTCAACACTGAGTCCGCTGTTTATGTGAATTAAGGGAAAACTGAAATGTTAGTTTTTAGAAATGATGCTATTGTCAAGGGGACAGAGAAATGGAAGTATGGTGATGTCTATGTCCAAATATATATTATTATATGTATCTTGTGTTGTTATTTCCTAGGGTCCTAGGGTATTAACTCACTTGTACATAAGGTAAGCTAAGCACTATTTGCTGTAAAGAATATATATATATATATATATATATATATATATATATATATATATATATATATACATACATAGAAATATTCAGTGTCAGGTTTTAGTCTTATTTACGATTTTTGATACTCAGATAAAACTATTTTGTTATGTTCATTTGACATCTGGGGAAATTCTTGATTTCTTGACAGGATTTCTTGAATGTTTTCATGTTAGATTTTGTAAATTTGTATGAGGAATAGGTAATCAGGTTACAAATGTCACTGTGCTGGCTGAATGTGGCAGACATGGCCTATTTATTGATTATTTTAAGAAATGTATTAAATAGTGGCTCAAACAGTTATCAATGCAAATAATAGATAATTGATTGAAACAAGAACTAATACCACAATATTAAGTTAAATACCCAGATGTACATGAGTACGCCGCCAACAAAATGTCATTGACTGTTGTAAATATGTAAAGGAGGCTTTAGCTGCAAGGAATGCATTGTTACTATAAAACATATATCTTATTCATAAAATTCATATAATATTTAAATGAAATTATTTAACGTGGGCCAAAGACCCTTCTACTGAAAGAAACTTTACATAGTATAACCGTTATTACCTAAACCTGCAGCTGTCCTCCCACTTCAAGGCAAGACGCCGTGATATAGCTGAAATACTGTGACGTTACAAAGTGGCGTTAAAACAAACTCACCCACTCATTCACACGGACATACCTGATTTGTCTGACATAGCGATCAATCAAGGCCCTGGAAAAGAACAAGAAAATCATGAATATCGTGAATACAAAAATAGCATGTGTAGCACCTGAGTGGAGTCGGGATGTCAACCTCCACTCAAATGCTACAATAACCAGCTTTAATGGATTATGGAATCTTCGAACGGATAACAGATAGGTGTTGGTCGGTTCAACCATTCCGTACTTCTTGACAGTAGGTTGCTTCACAGCTGTGACAGACTGTTGGACAAGATCTTGGACAATTTTTTCTTCGGTCATGTCGGACAGGCAGCCTGCTCTGTCCCGTACAATGCCCTTACATGAGTTCTGTGCTCAGACAGCAACCTTACTGTTCACAAACTCTTTCAATTTGAGCAGATTTACGGTTTCTTTGAACATTCTACAAGGAGAGAACCGGATCGAAACTTGGGGACATACAGTAAACTACGGTTATAACGAACTCAAAGGGACTACTGATTTTAGTTCGTTATAACCGTAGTTCGTTATAAGTACATATACAGCATGACTACAACAAGTAGTCGGGACCAAAAAGTAAGTTCGTTATATCCGTCAGTTCGTTATAAGCGTATTCGTTATAACCGTAGTTTACTGTATGTAACCTCTCCGCAAATACCAGCAATACCTTTGGAGATTGCAAATGGATTCAGTTTGATTTGTTCTTTGTTACATGCTTCAATAACAAAAGACGCGGTCAGCGGTCAGAGCGAATGAATGTATTCTCGCCATACGAGGTATTGTCAGCATATACGTGTCTTCGTTTTGAGCCAGGATGTTGGAAGCCATGTCGGAAAGAAAACGTCAGGCTGGTTCGGCCCATGACAATCAGTTGGAGATATACAGAAGTTAGAGGTCAGCATCACCAGATTGGACAATGAACCACCGCATTCTCCATAGATTCATACATTTGGAAGTTCAGAATGACTTTATTTTTAGGATACAACATGTTTGTATGAGGTATAGTATACACAGGGCATGACACTCGGGCAGAAGTTGGTGTTATTTTGAAGACTGACGCATTTTAAATAGATCGACAAGCAATGTTTTTAACTTTATTGGACCAGTTACAAGTATCCCCACGGACTGGAAGGAACACGGGTGCTGTATGTTAAGAAAAAAGTGTTGTGTCTTTCTTTGATTCTGTATCAAATCAGTGTAATTCGTGAGGCATGGTACCTGCACATTTCTATTCCCAGTCTGGACATGTGAATCTTGTTACAACAACCCCAGGAATCACAGAAACTCTGCCAGAGACACTTGATGCCACCTAATCCCATATCCCCTGACAGCATAACACTCAACCTAAACAACCCTTGTATGATAGGGAGTGTTAGGCTGCTAACGATAATATGGAGGCATCTTATGCCACTTTTGCTCAAACCTCCAATGATCTAGACAAGCATATTACATTATTACGAAGTGCTACAAAGAGACATAAGAAGGAAACGTCGCACCCACAAACTGGATCAGTGACGTAAACTAGAATCATTATGTCAGTCTGATCCATTTAAAGTTTGAAAACATTTGGAACGACTAAACAAGCCCAAACCGTTCAATCTTGAACAGAGAACACCAAATTAAACCTTTAATCATTTCAAAACAATATACAACAAAACAAAGTTACTCATCAAAACTTAACTAACACTATACAAACGTTTGAAGAAATTATCAGTCTTGGCAGAAGGCATTATTGAATGTAGCCAACAACTAAAAAACAACAAGAGTACATGTGAAGATAACATAAATGATGAATTCATTAAAGCCTGAGTTTATCTACCATTGACCACTAAGTAAAGCTATTCAGTGACGTAATCAACTGTGGTCACTTCCCACAAGACGTTATCTGTATCTATCAATTACACAAGAAGGGCAATAGAACTGACCCCAACAACGGTAGAGGTATAAACACTATCAAAAAAATAAAGTACTTGATATTTGCCAGGCAGGATTTTGAAAGGTATTCAGAATACCTGACAATGTCTTCACACTAAAAACTACTGGGTTTGTTTCCCCTTCTGTTTAAGGTAATTAAATCTAAACATATATTTTACAATCTTCCAATATTGTTTTAAAACATGCTATTAATGAATCAATAACTATTGCGATACAACACATTTGACGGTACTATAAATTCACTTGCCTCAGAGATCATTTTGACATAAAAGAAAGTGATCTACGATCTTCCGCAGTAATTAAGGACCTACAATCAAAATGTACAGACACGTTCCACTCATCTCTTCAATATAAACTTATGAACCTAAATTCATGAAACAAGCGTAGAACATATAGAAAAATTAAATCAGAAATTAAACTTGAACCCTATTTAGAACACTGCAAGATAAAAAAAACCCCAACTTTATCAGCTATGGCTGAGTGACCACAAACTAAAAAATGAACTGGGTAGAAGAACAAGAGCACCTACACCTTTGGGAGAACGTCTCTGTGATCACTGCTCAGTCCTTGAAGATGAAGAACACACAGAGACACGCACACAGACACACACAGACACAGACACACAGACACACAGAGACACGCAGACACGCACACAGACACGCTGACACAGACACATACAAACACACCTTTTCGAATACATTTAATTGAACCAGGAATGTCAGTCAATGGGATCTACAAATTGTAATTAAAGGGAGACTAGGTTTCGACCAGTTGTCAGTCGTAGGAAATGAAATAAGTTCATTCACTTTGTAAACCCAACTGTTAAAGTGCATGTCATTCTGCCAGTGGATGATGTCCATGCTAACACACAGTCGTGTCTCAGTTTCCCACAAGTCACAATGTCGAGACAAACACCGAACACTGGAAGCAGATCCTGGAGCATAGCTCCTCATTAAATGTATATAAATAATCCTACAGCAAACTTTAACTTACCATAATCACATATCCAACGATATAATTCCCCGACATATAACACCGACCTGGTAACTCAAAGACCAAGGTCTACATGTGAAATGCCGTTTACGCCATTCAACCGCCTTGTCCTCCCTGTGGTGTGTAGCAACAGGGAGTCCAGCTCAGAGAATGGCAGGTATGGCCGTCACCGTGTGCCGTCCTATTCAACGTATTGGTGTCACTCGTATAAAGACTCTTCAGAGAAAACACTTTTGATATTCAGTGGCTATGTGTAGAGTTGATACTACAGAAGTTTTAAATAGTTCGTGTGTATATCGTCATTGTCGGGAGTTATTCTGTTTTACCATAATGCATTACGTTCTGGCCTACCCAGATGGGGTGAAGAGGTGCGCATGACACACCTTACGCGAGGGTGCCTATCATGTATTCTGGGTTAAGTCGGCATCCCCCCCCCCCCCCCCCCCCCCGCCTCATCCCCACCCCCAAACTATAAAACGTTGGATCCGTCTCTGTTCTGTAGTATTCGTGGAGGAATATTAGTAATAATGTGCTATTCAAGTGCGGACACAGCGTTTTAAAACAACATGAAATGGAGTAGGGTGTGACCATGGTGTGGGGACTGTACTGGGTTTTTTTTGCTTTGCTAAAACACAATTGTCAGTTAATTAATTGCCGTCGGATTTTATTTATACGTCAAAATAATGAGTATGTTTCAGAAAGAGGATGGGGAATGCCGCCCCTGCATCCCCTCTTGCTTCGCGTACGCTTTGTTTTACCTTTCAAAAGAGAATTCGATAAAAATCCTAAAATAAAAGGTATGATTTGATATACTAATATGCCGTACATATATTGCCCGAGTTTTTAAGTGATATAGATGTAATACACTATGTTACGTTAAAGGTATACTGACCGGTCACGTGTTGAGGATGAGGCCAACTTGCATACTGTATCTTAAAGGCGTTCGCATAGCGTACATGTGCGAGAGCCATCAGAAGACAGCCCGCCCGATCCCGTTAGTCGCCTCTCACCACAAGCACGGCTTGCTAAATACCAATTCTAACCAGGATCTTCACGGAGAGAGCGCAATGCCATAGTTATCAGACACAGTAGAGAGAAGCAGAGAAAACAGTTGACACAGGTCAAATACGTGCGCCCATTACAATAAGATTGCGCTTAGTCGATCATGTAAGGTAAGACGAGTAACCTCCCTTTGACAATTGACTCAAAACTTGTCACAAAGGAAGCAACTATTTGACTTTCAACCATATGTTAATAGTTTTCTTCGTATGGCTCACAATATGGGAAAAACATAATTAATATGTCCTTTTCTTGTAGACAAGTGTTCAAACAAAACAGTTCGGGCGAGTGAGAGGTTTTGGGGCTGTTGGTCTGAAAGCATCACCAAACTATAGATTAACGGTCAGCGGGACTTTACTCTTTATTCTTGTCGAGATGTGTCAACGATAATGTAAATTATAAATGATTTCCCGGTTGTTAAATTGTACCAAAAAAGCTTTAATAACGAAGTGATGAAAACCACTGAAAACCATAATTTTTTTTATTAAGATGTATGTAATAAAATGGGTGTTGTACGATTAAGAAGTTAATTTCAAACTCATAACACACAACGCTCCTTTTACCAACATTTGCCAGCTGGGCCTGGCAAAGGTATGTTTCGAGGCAGATCACGAGGAACGTTCGTGCTCCTCGAGTTCCTCGTGCTGCACGTACGGCATTGGATCGAGTCCACTTGAACCAGGGGGAAGTTCAGCGTCATGATTGGTCTGTGGTCGCAAATTTGGTATTGGCGGGAGTGTTTCAGTCTCAAAGGGGCACTGATCTCTGACAATTCACCGAGACGGGTGTTGCTAGGGCTTGGACGGGTAACTCGGGTACCCGGGTTTGGTGGACACTGAGTAGGACCCGGGTACCCACAGGACTACCCGGACCCGTGATATATTGTTTAATGACAAATATTATCTAGAACTCAATGGTTACACTACAAGTCACGAATGTTCGCATTTCTTTCTGACTATGCACCCATTCCTTCTGACTTCATATGGTGGAATAAAGATATAACTTAGGTCAACTTCAGTGTTTGCATGACCAGATTGTTTAATACATGTATCTTAATACGTTTTGCCAGGGCTTTGGTAAAAAAAATTCCCAATCGGACATTTTGTACCTATCTCTTGAGACCGACAGTGGGTACCCGGGTAGGGTCGGGTAATAGGTGGGTAGGTACCCGGGTAATAAATTTGGACTCGTCCCAGCCCGAGTTGTTGCCTTTGTTATTGTATTTGTTCCCCATGGATACCCAAGAAATCTAAATCAGTGGCATATTTCCTCTCGAAATGACGTGTTTTATCCAAATTGCATTTTATAGTTTTACTAACTAAGTGAGTCGGCGTTGTGTGTGAGAGCGTGTGGACACTAGCTAAGATATGTTATTGAAACATGAATCTGCCCTTTTAAAAATAATCACCGACTAAATGGCTTATGTAGAAAGGTTTTTAATTTGTTACATTTGGTATCTTTGTGGATACAGTGGTATATTCGTTGACCTCAAAATTACAGTTCACTGTACGATCCGAAAACACTGTGTTTGGTTTATTATTTTTCGATTGACAGAAATTATACCTTTAACGTGTCGCCGGATATATTGAAAGTTATTTTAATATTGCAGGAGTTAACGGTAATTTTCTTTTACGTACGCTTCATCTCTTACTCCTGGTTGTCTAACCAGTAGTATCTCGTGTATATTTGGGGTGTGACGTGGACACTTTCAAATGTCACTTCTTGTCACGCCACAGCCGAGGAGAGACATTCTTGCTCCCTCGACTGAACATCAATTACTATTGATGCTATTAAAACCTTTTACAGAACCATCTTCACCGCCTTAGTCCACTTAATTACATCGTCGTCCAGGACCCGCGACAAACGTAAATAAAATATTCAGAGAACAATGAACTGCAAATCGACATTAGCCGAGGGTTGCCTAACGTCTCGGCTGTCATACAGACTATCGCAACTCTAAGGCCAATCTCATTAAAATCAGACCTTAGTTCTCGCTACCGCTAAACAAACATCTGAAGACATCCCATTAGGGGTCACGTAAGAACGACCTTTTATCCGACTAATCAGAGCGTCGCTTACCAGATATGAAAGTGACAGTCGGAATGTGATTTCTAATCATGCAACCTCGAAAACTTTTACAGGGGGTATTCTGCACGATAGTTACGGGTTAAACGACAGAATCCATAGTAGACCTATTAGCCATTCCAGAATGTTCTTTTGTTAAGGTTTCAAATTTGTAATCGAGAATATGTCAAAATATGTTTCGAAGCGTCGTCGCCAATTTGAAAGTAGTGCCGTAAAGCACGAGAAAGGTCCCTTCTGATTGGTCAGTCTGCAAGGTCGGTCTGACGTGACCCGTGGATGGGATGTCCTCAGATCTTTGTTGAGCAGAAGCGAGAACAAAGATTTGATTTTAATGAGATTGCTCTAAGGCCGATATCAATTTTGACAAAATCGCTGTAAGCGCTTATAAAATCAATAGGACTTGTTTTATGTGAGGTGGAAACGTTGCTAGTTTTGAAAACCCCAAACCAACTGACTCTTCTCAAAGCGCATGTCTCGTTACCACAGCGGGTGATTGGTGCGAGGGGCTCTCTAGTTTCTGATGTGATTCTCCATGCACAGACTCAAACAGTCCCAGCCAGGTCACTGGTCTAAGGGACGTAACTCTGAAAATACTATTAAACATTGACACACATATATTACACATCATCTCGTTTCTAAGTTCGAATCTTCTCGCCGGTGCGCCTGTGAGGTTTACGTTTTTCAGCCATTTTGCAATTATCTGAGTCTACTTTGTGTTAATATAAAACGTCTTTTGTGTTCCCCCATCATATTGACATCACCCTCAACAGAGTGTGCATGAGGAGGGCCGGGAGGCCGAAAGCTTTACAGTGCATATTTATGTATTTGTTATATGATTTTAATTTGTGTGACAATCAAATTTAGCAATTATCAGTTGGCCTGAAAACTGCCGCAGAGGGCATTGGCTACACGTGCTGCCGGGAGAAGGTAGCCTGCTGATTATAGCGGTCTGTTGACACGCCGAAAACTCGGGTTCGAATCCTCACATGAGTTTGCCTTAGGTTCTGTGGCCGTTAATTTGATATGAAAACCAGCGCTTTAAGTGTAATCATTGTCCCCACACACTGCCAGGTACTCCCCCGTGGGGATTCCGTGTTATAATAGGACCCTAACGACCTATGTTGGCCTCGAGGAGACTATATAGATATTTGTTATAGTGTACTGTTCCCAGTCGGTCCATCACTCCGTGTGATACATGCTGCTGTAACGTTACATGATGTACCTTCTGTATATAATGTTTAATGGATAAATAGTTTGGCTCCTACTTTCACAGTTTTGTTTCATTGTGTGTTTGTAGTTTGACGCCGCACTCAGCAATATTCCAGCTATATGACGGCGGTCTGTAAATAATCAAGTCTTGACCAGACAATCCAGTGATTGACCAATTGAAACCTGGATCTTCTCGGCGGTCCTGTCAGAGAAGAAAGTTGAATGTTTTGAAGCACTGACTGAAAACGTTCTGTCTCAAACAACAATCCACAATATTAAATGACGGGTCCCTTAGGGATACTAACGAAGTTCCTTCATGGCAGACAATAACAGTTTTATACTTTTGTCCAAGAGAAAAACGCTCTGTAGCACTTCCTCACACGTTTTTTATTACAATATCAGAGAAGACAAGTGTGCGTATCTGTTGACTGGCGGGCGTGCATTGGAACAGAGGAAACACGGTAATTAGAGTAGTGTCATGCACATTCTTGGGTAGTGCTTGACTCTTGGTCGCCTATAGATTCAGAAATGCTCTATTTCGTAGAATCTTACACAATCACATTCATGTACAAAAACATACTATCATCCTGATTTCGCCGGTATTAATGGAAGTACGACTGGTCACTGATCACAATGGATGATGACCTTGACGGCTTTAGCGTCATGTGATATAGCAGTTTCGAAAGCACGCAAAGTCTCGTTTAGGGTGAAATGATGCGTTATCATCGGTTTGACGTTGATCTTGCCCGTAGATATCATCGCTAGTGCAGCTGGATAACTGAAATAATAGCAAATCAATTAAGTAATTTTGTTTTTAGAAATAGTAATTTCAATTGAATAAAAGTTTAGTAAAAATGTTTGAAAGCATATATTATCTCAAACATGGTTAAACTTGGCTAAAGGACATGTATTATTGGTAATGTGTGTCAGTATATTGAACGCACTGATTTTAAATAGTAATGAACGTTTAACGTGTGAATTGGGAATGTCGCCACTTCAACTCCGACATCCTCCCTTGCATTCGAATGTCCGCCATCTTATGGTCTTTGTTTCCCTATGTGCTTGAGGTCAAGCGTAGCTCAGGGTCCTGTCCCACAAAGGGAACTTAGCCGTGATCGTAACTCCCATACTTTAACATTGCATTAGCGCTAAGATCGTTGTGCAAAGTGCCAGAAACCTATGACTGTGGGTTCGAACCCCGTTTCACCCTGATTATGTTTCCAGGTTTGTCAGCACCATACCCGTGTTCGTAGGTTTCACCATTAAAGTGTTAAACGTCTGAGACCTGCATCCCACATGAAGCTGACATGCCGTTCTGAAACAAAACTCAACCACTCATGTGCCACGGGGATTCAGTGATAGTGTTTCTGGGATGGAATGTGTTAAGGGATGCTGTGATTGTGTTACTGGGATGCTGTGATTGTGTTACAAGGATGCAGCGATTGTGTTACGGGGATGCAATAACGTTACCAGTTTGTGTATCTGAAGACGCCCTTCATGTCCACTTGTTTCCTGAAGGCCTCGTCTAATGGCAGCACGGTCTGCTGTGACGGTCGTCCCACGACCACTAGACACCCGCCTGGCCGCGTCGCCTGGAATACAACCCCTCGGGTACAGACTCGTGACAGGGAATCAGTGAGTGAGTGAGTGAGTGAGTGTTGTTTAACACCGCAGTCAGTAATAGTCCAGCTATATCACGGCGGCCTGTAATTAAATCTGTCTGGACCAGGCAAACCAGTGATTGAAGACGTGAGCGGATGAGCGACGATACACGCCAGCGAGTATACAGTGACAAGTCCTTGACCAAGTCGCACCAACTGATCACAATGTAAGTCGCGATCACCGTATCAAGACACAACTGGAGTGATGACGATGATATTGCATTTTGTTTGCATCACAGAACCAACACATAATGCGGCGTTACTATGGTTACAGCGCTTTTGTTGGTGGTATTTCGTCTTAAGCAATATTGCAGAAATATAACCTAGGAACCAGACCCGAATGCAGACCTATAAGTATACACAAACTCAGATACGTACCCAGATACTGATACAGACACAGATAGGTACCCAGATACTGATACAGACACCGATACGTACCCAGATACTGACACAGACACCGATACGTACCCAGATACTGACACAGACTCAGATACATACATATACGCAGACGCACATACAAACACATATAGCCACAGATAAATAGACACAAATACAGACACAGCTACCAATATAGACACAGATATATAAATATTGACACATGCACAGGCAGACAGACACATATACAAATACAGACAAAGATACAAATACCATCTTCACGAGGAAAGGGAGTTGACTGACGGTAAAAGTCCGGTTTCCACAATTGCCGAACAAGGCTGGAATTATGGAGTATATTTTGGCTGGACTAACGAGTCTTTAAATAGTCCAATCAAAATAGCGAAACCGATTAAATCGTAAACTGCCGTGCAAATTTCGGTCGATTGCAGGGTTTGCAAAGCATGTGTACCGCCAACTGGGCGTCAACAGATATTTTCCAAATCTATTCATGTTTTTTAATCAAGGTGCTCACGTGATGTGATACAGTCTGCGAAGTATTACATACAAGATTACAATACATTACAATATAGATTTTGATTATCAATCCGCCATTTTATTTGAAGCAAATGCAAGTGGTATGAGAGGTGGAATCTAATTGGTCAATAGGAGCAACATAGAAGGGACATTATTCGTAATGATCGATTCCAGAAATTCCAGTCTAGTTCGGCAAGGGCGGAAACTTGACAGTCAATTAACTCCCTTGCCTCGGAAAGATGTAAAAATACAAACAAATACAAATATAGACACAGATACAAATACACACGCAGATACATATGCAGACGCAGACACAGACGCAGACGCAGATACAAACGCAGATGCAGACGCGGCAACAGTCGCTGTCAGAGAGACAGGTATATACACAGACACAGACACACAGACACAGACACAAACACAGACGCAGACGCTGTCAGGGAGACAGGTATATACACAGACACAGACACAGACACACAAACACAGACGCAGACGCAGACGCTGTCAGGGAGACAGGTATATACACAGACACAGACACACAGACGCAGACGCAGACGCTGTCAGGGAGACAGGTATATACACAGACACAGACACACAGACACAGACACAAACACAGATGCAGACGCGGCCACAGTCGCTGTCAGGGAGACAGGTATATACACATATACAGACACAGACACAGACACAGACACAGACACAGACAAAAACACAGATATCGGTACGAATAGATATAGATACAGGTACGAATAGATAATCAGACACAAACACAGACGCAGACGCAGTCGCTGTCAGGGAGACAGGTATATACACAGACACAGACACACAGACACAAACATAGACACAGACGCAGACGCGGCCACAGTCGCTGTCAGGGAGACAGGTATATACACAGACACAGACACACAGACACAAACACAGACGCAGACGCAGACGCGGCCACAGTCGCTGTCAGGGAGACAGGTATATACACATATACAGACACAAACACAGACGCAGACGCAGACGCAGATACAAACGCAGATGCAGACGCGGCCACAGTCGCTGTCAGAGAGACAGGTATATACACAGACACAGACACACAGACACAAACACAAACACAGATGCAGACGCGGCCACAGTCGCTGTCAGGGAGACAGGTATATACACATATACAGACACAGACACAGACACAGACAAAAACACAGATAGTGGTACGAATAGATATAGATACAGGTACGAATAGATAATCAGACCCACACAAATACAGACACAGATACAAATACAGACACAGACAGAATGCAGATGCGGACAGAGACACAGATACATAATGATTACGTGTCCATGGCAATATTATTTGGGCGAAACAAGACCTTCGAAATGTGTCCAGATACGTTCATTCCTATAAAGATAACGGAAAGACAATTAACGAATGGGGCATTTAAGAAAAGGTTGTGAGTAAAAAGCTCGTTCTCTGAACCGTCTTCAGGCGGGTGTCTCGTGACTCACATGAATTCCCAGAACATAACTGTAGTCCACGCTACTACACTCAATCGTCACTTCCGGTTGACCGCCCATCAAAGCCTCGATTTCACCAGCAACTTCAAGCTTATCTCGTCCATTCACGTTAATTGTGTGGTCTGCCCCGAGTGATTTGGCCATCCTCAGTCTGTTGTCATCTATATCTGTATTTAAATTAAGGTGTAAAGATTATTGTCAACCTCATAATATACCAAGTTTATGTTTGTCTTTCAGTTATTAGTTTGTGTTAAACCTGAACCGGACAAACACCCAAAGTCAGCGAGAGTTATCTCCCGTGACAAACGTGTCATTAGGAAAGTGAGTGAGTGAGTGAGTGAGTGAGTGAGTTGGGTTTAACGCCGCTTTTAACAGTATTCCAGTTACATCACGGCGTGTCAGCTTAATGTGGTAGGAAAGCCCGAAGTGATGCAGGTCTCAGACGTTTACCACTTCGGTGAAACCCACGAGCACGGGTATGGTGCTGACAAACCTAGAAACATAATCGGGGCGAACCGGGATTCGAACCCACAATCATAGGTTTCTGGCGTGCCCAAGAGACGCAACTCTGCACAGCGAATCGCGGCGCCTTAGACGACTGGGCCACCCGTGCCCAAATTAGGAAAGTGAAGTACACTGCTTGAAAATCATCTCTTTAACAGACACGCTACCAATGAACCAGCCAATAGTTATACACTGGCGGGGCGGTCGGGTAGCCTGGTGGTTAAAGCGTTCGCTCGTCACGCCGAAGACCCGGGTTCGATTCCCGACATGGGTACAATGTGTGAAGCCCATTTCTGGTGTCCCCCGCCGTGATATTGCTGGAATATTGCTAAAAGCGGCGTAAAACCATACTCACTCACTTATACACTGGCATATCCAGAGGGGATGGGTGTGGGTATCCCCCCACCTTAAATGTTCATAGAGATCTTGGGTAATATGTGAACACTGTGGTTATGTAGTGACTTTATGTGTATCGTTTATGGACACAGGTCACACAGTTGACTAAGGCGTTGTTACTTGCTGCTCAACTTCGTCAACCTTTGTCCTGCAAGGATCCGCTAATCTAGGGTTTGAATCCCAGATTCGCCTCCTGAACGACCCTTGGCCTGTCAGCATCATGCCAATGCTAAGGATTACAGAGTTGCGTCGCTTTGCTGTGCCAGGATTCAGCACAAAATCCTACTTCATGACCTACTTGGCTTTCCTCCCACATTCAGCTGACACACAGTTATATTACTAAAATACTGTTCAAAGCGGCGCTAAACCCAACTTACTCACTCACTACGTGACACGGGGCATATTCTGAGGTGTGCTATCACATCCTGACTCACATTCCCCGTGTTTCAGAGTGGATGGTTTTGTCCAGACTCGATTATTTAGAGGCCGCCGTGATATAGCTGTCGTATTGCGGGCTGCGGCGTACAACACCATTCCTTCACTCACTTTACAGAACCTGTGATTAAAACCTGTGAGGCCCCAGCCGCTTTCCCCGCCATCATGCACAGGATTCCCACAGGACCTGTGGGGCACAGATAAAGTAAAATGCATGACATATGATTTAACGATTGCAGGTTACAGCATCTAGTAACTAGTCTGTAAAGGTCTGTAGGATTCCACAATGCTGTGTGTTACGTCATCATACAGCTACGAGTGATTTGGTTGCAGATCATGTTTTGGCAAGTTGCATGAAGGTCACGAACGTTTAAATGTGAAGGTCGAGTTTGAGAAAAGGGGCGACCACTCACTGAGTAAATGATTTGACGGTTAAAATATAATAGCATATGGGGCATCGTGTCTAAAAAAATTGTTCGAAAGAACACGATCGTTTTATGGCGTTTACTGTTATACCTGCTCCACAGATCAGTAGTTTTGATCCAAGAGTTACTTCCCCTCGGCGACATGCGTAGATCGCGACAGAGAGTGGCTCCATCAGTGCACCTTCATCTAAAGTCACGTGATCAGGTAGTCTGTATTGAACATGAAGCAGTATTTGAGCAGTGGATGAATATATATTAAATTACGTGAGAGTAAGCACTTGTCAGGTCAATCGGCGGTCAGTAATTAATCGGACGCGGTCAAGGCAAACCAGTGGTTGATAGCATGAGCTCAATCAGTCAGGTCACACATTGTAATCACCCGATCCTCCATTTAGTCGAAACAAAGCGTACTGGGGTCTGTTCTATCCGTGAATCAACACGTTATCGCGATCAGTGAAATAAAACGTATATAGAAATAAGAAAGTTAGGTCAGTGGATCAGAATATAAAACTACCATGGTTGATGAATTATCGGTGTTACCTTTACATCTTAACCATGACGATCTGGGTTAGAATACGTCTTCAGCAACCATGCTTGCCGTCAAAGGCGACTAACTAGATCGAGTGGTCAGGCTCGCCGACATTGTTGATGCATGTCATCATGTCCCAATTGCGTGGATCAATGCTCATGATGTCAATCACTGGGTTGTATGGCCCAGACTCGATTTCTTCAGACCGCGTCATACAGCTAGGCTCTGTTCCACAAGCTAGGATGATCGTAACTCCCTAACTTTAACATAGTCTGTCGACAGTCGTAGCGGTTAGATCGCCTTGTGCGACGAGGCCCTGGAACATTGCTTAGTGCGGAGTTAAACAACAAACAAACCTTTACATATGGTAGATCTAGGTTATATGTCCACTGGACATTCACTGTAAGGTATATGTTGGGTTATTACATAATTCCCAGTGTAATTACCACATTTACACCGCATTATTTATCGACCAATTCATTTTCTAGGGGTGCTTGGGATATTTTCATAAAAGAAAATGTGTCGTCATGTTTTTACCCAAAACGAAATTGTTCACTAGACGTATTTGCCTGTGTTGAAGAAGCGACTGAAAAAGGTATGCTGTCTATTGCAAAAATTCCAGCACTCTCCCCAAAATATAACATGGCGGATGGCTTCGGTTATCTTTCTCGGATATTATTATTGCAAATCCATGGGTTGAGACTGCTGGGATTTTATCGAAGAAAACATAATTGTCCCCGAAAATGAAAAGAATCATTAAAATAAAATTGCCTGCTATAAAGATGAAATTGCTTCAAGGTGTGTTTCTTTAAAAAATTCAAGATCAAAGTTTCAAATAAAACAAATATACCTGGTTTTGTACCTGAAGTTGATCCATCCACCCCATACCCCCTCCCCCCCCCCCCCCCACACACACACACCCCGACCCCAGAATATCAAACTGTCGGACCCTTAGTCAGCTGCTAGATTCCGTATGCCTACATACAGGTCCGCTTAAACATCAATAAGAGTTCACTTAAATGGGGATCTGGTAGTCAGACTCGTTTCATCGTATCTCGACTGCCTGTTCGTCTGTACAATTTGCGTGGTGCAGGCTACTATCTACAGGCCGTGCGATACAGTTGGAATAGTTCTGAATGCGGCTTAAACAAGTGCCTGAATTTTGTAGCTTACTTGAAACAAAAATCTTCAGCGTGTTTGTAATAACGGCAAATGTTTCCATGATCAGGGGGTGTGGCACAGAACGTGATGCCCGGGCAGAGGTTGTAGGTGCCTTGCTTGCACTGGAAACACTGGCGGCACGGCGTGCCAGGCTCTATCGCCACGCGATCTCCTAAGATAAGATAAAACTTTATTATTCTATTTCACAGTCAATTACCACTAAAATATGAAAAAAGGAAACTACATTCCGAGGCAAATTTTTCATTGTTAATCTCGTGAATGAATATTTGGATTTGACCCAGAGAAAGCGCGTGGTAACATGGTCGTAGAAAACGCGGTTGTTGATCGTTACCATACTCTGACACATTGTCTCTCCGTGTCATCACATTTACTTTGCAGCAGTAAAAGCTTAACACTGATTCTGTTTGTTGTTTGTGTGTCACAATAACTCTTGCCTTTGATGAGGTGAGGTGAAATTGGGTTTAACGTCGCGTCCAAGAATATTGCACTTATATAGCGACGTGCATACACGTGTGTGTGTGTGTGGCTGCTTGTACCAGTCCGGACTGAAGCCGATTTATAGTGCTAGCACATTGAGATACCATGCCGCAGTTTAACATGAATTCCCCACTCAGACACAGTATACTGACTCCGAGCCGACCAGTCCTTGTTTTAGCCCCTTAATGCCGAGCGCCTGACAGGGTAACAACAAGTACCATCATTTAGGTATTTTGGCATTTTGGTATGACGCGGCCGGGGATCGAACCCCGGACATTCCGCTCTCCGGGCGGACGCTCTACCACTAGACTCTTGCCTTTGAGTATATATGACTTTAAATTATTATATGTATATAAGAAAAAAGACGCCAAAGCCCGGGTTATATGCATACATTTACCCCAGGGGGTAACCTTTGTTGTTTAACGCCGCACTCAGCAATATCCAAGCTATATGACAGCGGTCTGTAAATAATCCAGTCTGGACCAGACAATTGTTATATGGCAGTGTATTTTTTTGTTGAACAATAATGTTGTATTTTGTTGTAACTGTGTAACATTGTTTCTGTTGAGATTCGGTAGACGCTCATTGGATTGTATTTGGGCAGTGATTAGTCGTCAGGAATGTAGTACTATTTAATGTAAGCACCGCCAGGAAGTTTTATTTAGAGTGAGTGAGTGAGTTGGGTTTAACGCCGCTTTGAACAGTATTCCAGTTATATCACGGCGTGTCTGATTAATGTGGGAGGAAAGCCCGAAGAGATGCGGGTCTCAGACGTTTACCACTTCGGTGAAAACCACGAGTACGGGTATGGTGCTGACAAACCTAGAAACATAATCGGGGCGAACCGGGATTCGAACCCATAATCATAGATTTCTAGCGTGCCCAAGAGACGCAATACTGCACGGCGAATCGCGGCGCCTTAGACGACTGGGCCCCTCGTGCCCTAGTTATATTTAAAAAACGTGAGTGGTGTGGTAAATTCCGGAAACGGCGAGACTTGTCCACCATTGTATAGAGCCTTACAGCACTGTGTAGAAAGTTCTGGAAGCTAGTTAGACGGTATATAAGGCGACAAGAGCATGCCGGGTGAATATACATTGTTATCACTGACTTTTGCTATCACCACTGTTTTTTGGTATTTGATACTGACTACTACCGTTCTATTGTGTGCTGCCATTGTAATTGCTGTGCAGTAATTTGTGTCGCCTCTTATACCAAGCATGCCAAGGCTTAACAAATCCCCGGGGGCAAAATGTACCCTGAGCTGTAAACAAATCTGATCCTGGCATTATGCCTCTGTATTCATGGCCATGTATTCGTATGAGGTTCTTGGTTCAGTGTTTGCAAAATCAAAGCTCACAAATCCCCCACCGTCGGTAGTAAAAAGATGTTCCTGTGGATATATGTACGAGTTTATGACATATATTTGGAAGGTGCCGGAATATATTTCCACAAGAACATGTTCAGCCAGAAAAAATAAGTTGTAATAACGCTTACCTATTTTTAAAGTTTTGACCTTTGACCCGACCTTGGCCACAGTCCCGCTGCCCTCATGGCCGATAACCATCGGGGCCTCAAGCCTGAATCTCCTATTGCCGCCACGCTGCCAGTACATGATGTCAGATCCGCAGATCCCAACAGAACCCATTCGTAGCAGAACTTCTGCAAAGAGACCGCCGTAATATGTAGGAAGGTGTGTGTCTTTTTGAAGTATAGGTCAGTTACAAGACAACAACAATAATAATAATAGTAATCCACAGACGAGCTTCCTGTTGAATGAATGAATGTGTGCAGGAAGGAAAAGAATACTGCAACACATTTTAAATCGGGCCCGTGTTAATTCAGGTGAACACCTGGTCCATCAGTATTTAATAGTGATTCATAGCTGAGGTGAAATTGGCTTTAACGCGTCGCGTCGCGTCCAAGATTTTTGCACTTATATAGCGACGTGCATGCATGTGTGTGTGTGTGTGTGTGTGTGTGTGTGTGTGTGTGTGTGTGTGTGTTTTGCTGCTTGTAATAGTCCGGACTGATGCCGATTTATAGTGCTAGCCCACTGAGATACCATGCCGCAGTTTAACATGAATACCCAACTCAGACACAGTTACTGACTCCGAGCCGAACAGTTTTAGCCCCTTAATTCCGGGCCCCAGACAAGTACAACCCCTGACGTTCCGCTCTCCGGGCGGAGGCTCTACCACAAGACCACGGAGGCGGTCTCGTGATTCATAAACACATGCTCAATCGACTCTGCTTTTATCAGAGATTTCTTATAAATATGGAAAGGATATTGTCCCTTTTATTTATTTATATTTTAGTTTTATTTATCAAATTGCAGTATACTGAAGGCACTATTTATGAACAAACTTACCATTATCTTCAAGGTCAGGCACTGGAATCGGTTCCTGTGAATCAGAAGGACGTGAGGGATATTTGGGAATAAGAGCTAAGAGGTTAAGGGCGCGTTAGGCGAAAGACTAACGTTTGCATACTAAATAGTTTCAACACTAGCGTTTAAAGATGACAAATACATTCTGTTATTACTGAAAACAAAATGGCATCTTGAACTTATCCCAAATTAAAGTTGATACTATATTACAAAATAATAAACTTTAATTTTTGTTTGTTATTTAACGCCATATATTTAACTTTTAAACATGGAATATTTAAGCTACATGACGACCGTTGGACTAGATAAAAGAGTGATTGATATTGTGAGCAGCGATCCACACAGTCGGGTACGATGACACACAATGTTTGCCATGAGGCAGAGAGCATGTATATGTACATGTAAAGACAACAAAATTAATAAGTTAACAAAAGGTGGAAAATAACAAAGGGTAGAAACTAACAAGGGAAGCCAAAAGATGATTGGCGTTGATAGGTGATTAGCAATAGACAATGGAGGCCAACACTTTACAGTAATTAGCACTGCTTCATGGCATTCATTCACCTGATGAAGGAGTAAGCATATACTCCGAAACGTTGTGTTCCTCATAAGAAAGAAGTTGACATCCATATATTCTCTTCCTTATGATATCATAATCATCGATCTACACAATTGGGATACAATGACATGCATCAACCACGTCAGCGAGCCTGACCACCCGATCCCGTTAGTCGCCCTTTAAGACAAGCATAGTCGCCTTTTACGGCAAGCATGGGTTGCTGAAGACATATTCTACCCCGTATCTTCAGGGGTTGTGTGTGTCTTATTTGCATACTGAGCTAACCCGTAAGGTGTTACGCGTATAAACATAGATCCCTAGCTCGTTAGCAACCGCTGTTTGTGGTAGGACGCGACTAAATGGGTCAGGTGGTCAGGCTCGGTGACCTGCTTGATTACATGGCATCGTATCCCAGTTGCCGGGATTAAATATTTTCAGGAAAATGACTGTTCAGATCAGGCAGGTTTTGAACTGGAGCCTTTCGAGATTCTGGAATATATATGTTTCCAAAGTATCAAGTTCAAATGAGGGAAAGGATTGTTTCCGGTGACAAACCTTTCATTATTTCTCGATGTACCTTTACAAATGTAGTGGGCTAGTTACGACTGGTGCCTGTCGTTTTCACAGAAATATAAGATTATTTATTTACAACCATGGCGGGGGAACCATATTGAATATTCTAAACGCTCGCAACCTGCTGTGGGAAAGTTAGAAATAATTAGTATAGTATCAATATAATATTTTTATTCTTGTAAATTATGACCTAAAATATTCAATCGCATCTGAAAGATTTCATAAAGATAAGGAGATAACTATGTGCTCGTCACGACAAAATGTGGTGCACCTGCTAAATTGACTCGCGCAAGTCTAGTCCATATTTCAGTGAGTGAGTGAGTACGGTTTAACGCCGCTTTTAGCAATATTCCAGCAATATCACGGCGGGGGACACCAGAAATGGGCTTCACACATTGTACCCATGTCGGGAATCGAACCGGGGTCTTCGGCGTGACGAGCGAACGCGTTAACCACTAGGCTACCCGACCGCCCCTAGTCCATATTTATATAGGGGTGACAAACCATTCAAAATTTGTGTTTGCTTAATAGTTGAAATATCTTCTCAGTATATCCTGAAATTTGTATCGTTTTTGTCAGTTGCTAGATAATTCACTCATGCTCAGTCATGCTTGGTCATGCTTAGGGTTTTAAACACCTCCAGATTTTAAAATGTCAGGCGTAACCGCGGAGTGCATCCAACACGTTCAGCGAGGATTTGTTTGTGGCGAGATTGTGAAGCTTTCGTTTCTAATTTCTTATGCATGTTATGGTTCGTGAAGTAGGCAAAGCCAAGATCTGTTGTCTTCGGGTCACTCCCAACTTGATTAAAAGTTACTTGCCTAATCATGTATCGCCACTGGTTATGTTTCTCCTTGTACTGTGCAATGTAAATGATATGAATGGTGACATCCCTTGCGTGGATTATTTGAACTAAACTTTGTATACAATGTCAACACTATAACATTTAACACAATTCTAATAATGAGCACCTAATGACAGTGTGTTCAATAGAAAGTATAAACATGCATGCGACCTTTAATTGAGACCACGGAATGAGAAACACAATCCACGTTTGTCAGCGTTAACACCACTATAAATCTGGTGAACCTTGGTCACCCGGTGCTTGAGAAAACCAACAGGTGTTCCAACCGACTGCGCAAGCGAAATGTACATTAGTCGTGATGCACGTGAGCTTCGTGACATGCACGTGAAATCCGTGATAGGTTTGTATACTCACGATCACCAGATCTTTGACTGCGCGGAGAACTGCTGCCTCGTTGTGTTGAACCGCCATGCTGGTTATATATATATATATATGTATGACGGAAGATTATCACTGGCTGTGACACACATTTGAGGCATTCAGCCCTTTCCATGTGGTATGTAGTGCACGTGAGCTTCGTGACATGCACGTGAAATCCATGATAGGTTTGTATACTCACGATCACCAGATCTTTGACTGCGCGGAGAACTGCTGCCTCGTTGTGTTGAACCGCCATGCTGGGTATATATGTATATATGACGGAAGATTATCACTGGCTGTGACACACATTTGATGCATTCAACCCTTTCCATGTGGTATGTAGTGCAGCTGGTATTTATCACGTGAGGTCACAGCTAGGTGAACTAGGTCATGAAATGGATTAAAGTGGTGCTACCTATTTTCTGTCACACAGACCACTTGTAGGTATGTAATGTCATTCTCAGCACTCATCTTCATGACACGTAGATATGTAGAATCTCCTGAATTCTATCTTCAAGACTACCAGCCCCTAAAGTAATCTGGTTCAGACTCGATTACTTACAGACCGCCGTCATATAGCTGGTATATTGCTGAGTGCGGCGTTAAGCAACAAACAAACAAACAAAACCATCGCATCGTTGGTTGTTCAATGTGTCAATCGGCGGTGAAATAGTCTAGTGGTTAAAGTGTTCGCTCGTCGCGACGAGGTCCTGGGTTTGATTCCCCACAAGGGTACAATGTGTGTCTGGTGTCACCCGCCGTGATGTTGCGGCGTTAAACCATACTTACTCCCTCAATGTATCAAACATTACAAAGCAATGTATTAGAACAAATACCCTCGACACATAGCTCACATAGTTTCGTTTTGACTAAAATAGCCATCCATGCAAATTACACGTCTACCCACAGCAGTTTTGTGCGAAGTTGGACAAGGAAATTGGACAATGTGACCTCACTCATTACTTAGTTTGGCATGTGTTTGTGATGGGTGCCACGCTTGCCTTTTCGCAAACACCTGTTGTCATCACAATTTGATAATGATGCACAAACACACGAGACCCGTGAAGATGCTTGCCGTAAAAGGCGACTATTCTGTCGTAAGAGGCGACTAACGGGATCGGGTGGTCAGGCTCGCTGACTTGGTTGATGCATGTCATCGATCCCAATTGCGTGAATCAATGCTCATGATATCAATCACTGGATTGTCTGGTTCAGACTCGATTATTTACAGACCGCCGTCATATAGCTGGAATATTGCTGAGTGCGGCATAAAACAACAAAACCAACCAACCAACACAAACACATGTTATAGTAAGAATTGTACGATTGATTCTTTTTTTAGTGGAGATGACTTATGATTATGGAAAGGCTTTTTCGTTTCTATTCCCATCGAAGTAACAGCTATGTATTGGTGCAAAGTATTTATTCTCATAGAGACATGAGGGATATTTGGGAATAAGAGCTAAGAGGTTAAGGGCGCGTTAGACGAAAGACTAACGTTTGCAGACTAAATAGTTTCAACACTAGCGTTTACAGATGACAAATACATTCTGTTATTACTGAAAATAAAATGGCTTCTTGAACTTATCCCAAATTAAAGTTGATACTATATTACAAAATAATAAACTTTAATTTTTGTTTGATATTTAACGCCATATATTTAACTTCTAAACATGGAATATTTAAGCTATGCGATGGACAATCGTGGCCAATCATGGATGTCTCTTTCTATCCTCACAGAAACATCCATTACAGTGAATGTATTTATCACCCGCGGGGATCCCGGTTGGGAATGTAGGTCCCCAGTAAACTAGGCTTAAATAAAAGAAAGAGGTGGTCAGGCTTGCTGACGTGGTTGATGCATGTCATCGTATCCCAAATACCTGTATCGATGCGCATGATGTGAATCACTGGATTGTCTGGTCGACACTCGATTACTTACAGACCGCCGTCAAAAAGCTGGAATATTGCTTTTAGTGTGGCGAACACAACAAGCAATCAAACAAACAGTTCAACCAAACTCGCGCTGTCACTCATACTTCGGAATTTGTTTTCCGATTATGATCGACCACTCGTTATACATTTGCACTGTCAAATGAAGAAGACCACGACTAGTATACGGCCCCTTTTGGGCCACGTGAAGATAGAGGTAGAGAATAGGTCTTCAGCATGCCATGCTTGCCGTAAAGGGCGACTGTGCAAATTGCTTGGATCGATGCTCATGATTTCAATCACTGGATTGTCTGGCCCAGAGTCGATTATTTACAGACCGTCGTCATAAAGCTGGAATATTGCTGAGTGCGGCGTCAAACAACAAACAAATAATAGGGGATTTGATAAAACTAGGCTTACAACGGAGAAGGACGCGTCGCACAAGGTGTGCTTGAAGGTTTTATTTGAGACTTGAACAAACCATTTCCCCAAACTCATACAAACATGCAACAAGGTAACACCTATACGGTCATATTAGCATGTACAAGGGTTAACTTTACATTACACGGACAAATTGTATATTAACGATATTGGCATATATACGATATATATAAACTTCGGTGACAGCTGGCTGCCGGAACTCCATTGTATAGTTTTTAATGTGAAGTTTACACCATACCGCGAATACAATTTGACGTGTAAACGTTTTTCACGAGACTGTATTCTTGAAGTGACGTAATCACTGACGGACCACTTCCTCATTCCTGGGGAACCCCTGGGTATTCCCTAGCACGAATACATACAGAAGCGTTGTTTCTGATCACTTAGACCCTTTTATCTTGAACTCAGCGTATGTAACATATGTAAATAACTGTAAAGGACACATTAGTAACTGGTCTATAACATGCTTTTGACTTGGACGGAAACTGGTCAGTTGGAATAATTAGTCATCGACACAAGTACACACTTAATGATGACGTTAACATATATAAAATAATTCCAACAGGAAGTGACGTCATAGCTGCATTACACAACTCCCCTTCACAGCAGTAAACACAGGAGGACGGATCCTGTTCACAGTTGCCGTTGACATTTTGTAGACTGTAGCAGTGACTATCATCCATACACCCCTGCAACACAACATCGTCAAGTGGTAAAAGAAACGAAACAATGTAACGCGTACGTCATCATGGATGACGACCCGGAAGATATAGAGAAAACTACAAGTATTCGAAAGTAATTCACAAAAAGCAGGTTGAAACCAAGTTCGAACCTTGACATATACCACTATCCCATCAGAAATTTCAGACCTAAAACAGACGTCACCTCTACCATACACGTGATACGAGCCCTGTTGTCTTTGTCGACACTGCTCGATGTGCAGAATTGTGTCGTCCTGATATAACAAACGCACTTTAATGAATATAATATACTGGGCATTGATGTGTACACGCATTCTCATATGCATCCTTGGAATATTGCTTTCGATTGTTGATATAAATACTTAAGAATCAATAATGCAATTTTCTTGATGATTTTGCATCTCTATTTGATGTTCTACGCGTCATTTGGAACTTTCTTGTCGTTTTACATGCATTAAACACTTGTTAAACCCCCGAGCATCCGGGTTAGAATAGGTCAGCAAACCTTGCTTGCCATAAAAGGCGAATATGCTTGTCGCATAAAACCCCAATGTACCCCAAGTTATCCTGTTACAACGAATTAATCTTACAGACATGTTTTAATATGACATTGTAAAACAATTCAAACGAATTCAAAATTGATAGAAAACAGCTGTTCGCTTAAGCTGAGGTTAACTGCGCTATGGCACGTGACTTCCATTGACTTGGAAAAAGCGTGCGGCTCTTTGCTTCGAAGCGGGGTATAAGAGATTTATTCTGCCTCTCAGAAATGCACCTGCAGCCTAAATTGCTCGTGGTGGGGTATAAGGGATTTATTCGCCCGCTGAGAATAAATACATCGTACATCGTATTTTATCAGGATCACGTGGACCAATCAGATCTCGTCTTTCTGACATGGACGTATGATACAATCGTAATACTATATATTTCAATGATAAATATTAACGGTAGAAATGTTAATTTGCAAACTAATCGTACCTTTGTGTATTTTTTGCCCTCGAAGCCCCCTCTCTCTATTGTCGTGTAGCATATCTGACCCCAGCCGCACGTGATGGGGTCACTCTGCATACACTCTCGGACCGTCCATGCGCGGACACACCGGAAACAGTCGAGGCCGTCTGCACCTAAAATATAGATCGAGAACGAGAGTTCAGTTCAGGTGCAACGTAGCGTCGATTGGACGGAAAGACACGACGCTAAAAGTAGCTGTCCAATCAAATTGCTCGAAGTATATTCTGTGCTTAGTTGATGATAAAGAGTCGGTGACGTCACTACCGAAATGTTAGCTAGGGTCGCGAATGAGTTCAGGGGCAGTATCATAATAGAATGTATATTATATATTATACACTGGTTGTTTGGGAATGTGTAGAATAGGAATGTCGCCAAAGATATATTTTGTTTTTTTTATCGCCACACTCAATATTCCAGGTTTATGGCGTCGGTCTGTAAAAAATCGAGTATGGACTAGACAAACCAGTGATTGACATCATGTGCTTTGAGCCCGGCACTTGGAGTGCTGTTCAACCAACCATGTCACAGAGTCTGTCCACCCGATCCATTTAATCGCCTCTTACAACAAGCATGGGTAGCTGAGGGCCTACATTCTTACCCCGAATACCCACGGGTGTTAGAGAATCACAAGGCAGATTCAAGAAGGCGGGGTGGTCGGGTAGCCTAGTGGTTAAAGGGTTCGCTCGTCACGCCGAAGACCCATGTTTTATTCCCGACATGGGTACAATGTGTGAAGCCCATTTCTGGTGTCCCCCGCCGTGATATTGCTGAAATATTACTTAAAACGGCGTAAAACTCACTCACTCACCACTCACTTCAAGTAGGCAACTGAATAGACGGAAAGTATGCCACTGATTTTTGTTTTGACTTTTATTCTGATGGGTGACGTGAGCTTCCTGAGATATTCAGCTGGAGCAGGGGCCAAGTCGACTAAGGCACTGCGTTCCTTACAAATTATGATCGTGGGTTCGAACCCCGATTGGCCCTGTTTATGTTTCTAGGTTTGTCAGCACCATTGCCTTGCTCGTGTTGTTCACGTCCCCCCCCCCGCCCCCCATTACTCCCCCCTATACTCAGAGAGACCCCTCCTGGTGTAGTGGATAGAGCTTCTGACAGGAGAGTGGAAACTCATACCAAAAGACGTTAAAAGATGGTACTTGTTGTTACCCTGTCAAGGATTGTTCGGCTCGGGGTCAGTATACTGTGTCTGAGTGGGGTATTCATGTTAAACTGCGGCATGGTACCTCAATGTGCTAGCACTATAAATTGGCATCAGTCCGGACTAGTACAATCAGCGACACACACACACACACACACACACACACACACACACACACACACACACACACACACACACACACACGTCGCTATACAAGGGCAATAATCTTGGACGCGACGTTAAAACCCATTTCACTTCAGCTGTACTTAGGGAACATGGTTATATGCATCAGCAGATTCACACCAACGCCCAAAACAACACGTCTTTATTACTTGATTCGAAAACATGTCTATGTTTTTAATTCTCATTGTTTATACCGTGATGTCATGAATATGTAGAACACCACTAAAGTTGTGTTTCCTCAACAGCGTAATCTGATCCCGTCACGAACACTCGGAGGGTCCGTGCTCTAGCATGCAGATCACTCCGATTACAGAATTAAACGGGAACTATACCCAGTCAATATTCCAGCCATAGCATATAGTAGCTTGTCGGATCCAAGTCCCCTGAACACTCACTGACAAGAAATATGTCTGATGCAATTCCCTTTTCTGACTTGTACCGCGTTTTTCAGGTTAACAGTTGACTTGCCATTGCATGTGTTTGTGATGGGTGCCACCGTTTGGGCAGGATAGGCCCCTCACCTTTTCGCGAACACCTGGTATCATCATTATATGTTACAGATTCAAAAACACATGCTCATGATATAGTCTGAATCTAAAAGATTGTACTTCTTGTTACCCTGCCTGATGCTCGACATAAAGGGGCTAAACAAGGACTGGTCGGCTCGGAGTCAGTATACTGTGTCTGAGTGGGGTTTTCATGTTACACTACAGAATCATTACCTCTGTGGGCTAGCACTATCAAACCGACTTTACACACACACACACACACACACACACACACACACACACACACACACACACACACACACACATACACACGCACAAGAATCTAGAACGCCACGTTAAACCCCATTTCACCTCTCCTCGCCTTTAGACTGGAAATAGGCGCAGGCGCACGGAGTCTCCCTTTAAGTGGACAAGATCAAAACTGGCGAAAATGTCAACCCCATAATAGTATTATACTACAAGACGTAGTATTGAAAATAATTACGTAATTTTCGTTTTTAAGTACCTTCTCTGTGATATATTACGTATTACGTGAGTATAACATTGTGTGTTGTTGTTAAACGCCGCATTCAGCAATATTCCAGCTATATGACGGCGATCTGTAAATAATCGAGTCTGGACCAGACAATCCAGTGATTGATATCATGAGCATCGATCCACGCAATTGGGATCGATGACATGCATCAATCAAGTCAGCGAGATTGACCACCCGAGCCCGTTAGTCGCCTCTTACGATAAGCATGTGCGCCCTTTACAGCAAGCATGGGTTGCTGAAGACCTATTCTACCCCGGATCTTCACGGGTCGAGTATGACATAGAATTTATTATTTATTATTGTCCACTACCAGAGTACATATTTACTGCTATACTGCCATGTCGGACTCGTTAATCTTTCCTTGGTACCTGGGCCGGTGGAGTAGCCTGTCGGAATATTGCAAAAAGCGTCGTTCAACCATACTCACTCACTCACTCAAACCAGATCATAGTAGTTAATATCGATATAACTAATTAATATACAGAAGACTTAACACATTTTGAATATAGTAAATCTAAAATGACCTTGAGTAAATATGTCACTTTTATTAAAGTTAAGCATTAGTCTTTCACACAGACCCTGAAACAAATATATCTAATGCAGCCCATGCAAGTTTATAATATTTGGCAAGTCTAGATTACTGCAGTTTGAAAATGAAGAGTCTCTGGGTTCCTTTTTAATATATTGTATTAAGATAATTTAACAACGGTTTTTTTCTGTAAACTAGTTTCCTATCAGAGACTAGACGTTAGTCTAGTTAGAATTCTACAGACACATTTCCAGTTCACTAAGTCTATTCATACACTAATTGTAGCACTCAGTCGACAGTCTGACTCCTTGAACAAATCTTTACAATATGCAATATCGTGTTGATAAACTCCGCGACGTGCTTAGGCCCAGCCGCCTGTTTTGCTTATTGCACACCTGTCAATCAACTGTCAATTATTTACAGTCATCACAGGCGAATGACGTAATGTTGAAATCATCATAAATCAGGACCTGGTGATAAGTTTCAAATTATATATAAGAGCCTCTCAAGTCGACTTAAAGGTTTTCATTATAAAAAGAGCATATCAACCAGATCCTGACAAAAATGACGACAGTCTTGATTCGAACTTCTAGACTGCAATGTATGTGATCACGTGATGTAATATAATACGACAGACATCATGCTAAGATACTACTGTTAGAATCGCCTAGTTTGTTTGTATTGGACATTACACTGTAACAATTAATAATATAATGGGATGTAACCCTGACGATTCTAACTGGAACGGTCTCTTTCTGATCAACGAGGTTTCACTGTAAAAAGGTTATCTTTTTAATAAGGATTCCATGTTTATGACAGAAACTTGAGTATCATGTTAATTATCGTCTTCAGCAACCAATGCTTGCCGTAAAAGGCGACTATGCTTGTCGTAAAAGGCGACTAACGGGATCGGGTGGTCAGTCTCGCTGACTTGGTTGATGCATGTCATCGATCCCAATTGCATGGATCGATGTTCATGATGTCAATCACTGGATTGTCTTGTCCAGAATGGATTATTTACAGACCACCGTCACATAGCTGGAGTGCGGCGTTAAACAGCAAACAAACAAACAAACCTGGTATCAACGTGATAATGAGTGGTATTATATGTTTGGTCCAGACTCGATTATTTACAGACCGCCGTCATATAGCTGGAACATTGCTGAGTACGGCGTTAAACAACAAAGAACCAAAGAAACAAAAAATACATAAAAAAACTGAGATTGACATATATTTGAGTGGGTTGGTCAGTGGGTGGGTGAGTGAAGTTCTACTCTACTTTAAGCAGTATTCCAGCAATATCACGGCCCGGGACACCAGAAAGTATTAGAACATTATCAGTGAAAATATATGCTCTCTATCACATGCTACAGTAAACTACGGCTATAACGAACTAAAAGGGACTACTAATTTTAGTTCGTTATAACCGTTGTTTGTTATAAGCATATATACAGCATAACTACAGCAAATAGTCGGGACCAAAAAGTAAGTTCGTTATATCCGTCAGTTCGTTATAAGCGTGTTCGTTATAACCGTGGTTTACTGTACGTACACAGGATGTAGTGTCAGCGGAGACCCATGTACGTCTACAAGACAAGATGTCGTTCGCCGATTACATTCCACGCTTTCAAATCTCCATGGCCAAGTCTTGTTGTACACCCATCCCAGCAACGAATAACACAAATAGTGTGTGCGTGCACTTAGAATACATGGCTGACAGACATAATATAGAAAATAACAACGAAATATTGTATCACAATCGTCACTGGTTAGAAATGTGATTACAAAATCACAAATATAATTGTTTACATATGTACGCACTAACCTTCCATTTTGTGCTGGCATATTTGTCAACATATTGTCGATGTGGTATTTATCAACTCATAGGGCCTACTTATAGTAACACAACTATTACCGACGGACATACATATATCTTTTTCAGTGAAAATATTCAGTAAATATTACTATTGGTTTTAGACATGAGCTTTGAAGCGACATATATGTATAGTACTGTAGCTGGATTAAGGATAGATATACTGATATATTAAAATGTGATATATTGAAAATGATTTGCGATAAGCTCTTCTTGAACTCAACATTGCATTTCATAAACAAACCTGATATATAAAGATCGATTTTAATAGTGGCTATAAACGAGACAAATGGTTAGTCGATGGTGCTGCATTTGATACGGGGAT